AAAATTCAGAAAGGGCAAGAGTCGAAGCGAAGCTCCTCGTGGGCTGATTAGCATGCACTCGGCACGCTCCGCGCTCTCGAGAAGCCTTGCGAGACCACGTCACGCGTTCCCACACTGCGTAAAACGTGTCCGTTTCACCCACACTACGCGCAGGTAGACGCACCTGCCACCTGCCACCGTCACCGGCACCTCCTTCGCCTCCACCTCCTCCTCCAGCCAGGACACTCCTCGGTCAAGGTGTTTTCATGATTTTCCTTCGATATCCGTGGACATCGCCACGGCGAGCTGCGATATCGCCAGAGCAGGCGCCGGCTGCATAGCCAAGCGACCAGGATGTCATTGTTCGAATCCTCCTAGGTGTCTCTATTCTTATCCTTATTTCTGATTCCCTTCCCTTCGCCATTATCTATACTCCTTGCGCTCTCCGTTCCTTCCACCGCACCACCCTTCTCCCTGCCTTTTCCCAGCTAACGCATTCCGCGTCTTGCCCATACGTTCTGCACATACTATACGCATGTATCTCAAACACGGGACACCGTAACGCCGGCTCGCTCCCCGTTACTCTATTATTGCCAAGCGCAGTTGGTCAGCTGGAATAAGTTCCAAGCCGAGGCTCCATTCTTACAGTCGTATCGTACCAGCCAAAGGAAGCTGACTGCTCTCTAGGTGGAGCAGGTACGTATCAGGAATAGATACTCTACAGGCAGAATAACTATGCGCCAGGTTACGCCGCGTTACGGCACGAACCACCAGCCTAGCGTATCGGCTCGGCACAGCGTCGTAAACATCGTAGGCTGCGACTTGTAAATTCTCTCCTGGCGTTTTAATGGTCTAGTACGCGCATGTATTAGTTACAGCGACATTAATAACTCTGCGAGAAAAGGCCTCCGTGCCGATTAATCCAAAACTTCGTTAGCGTTCTAGATTTCATGTCACGGAGAGCACCGATCCAAATGGCATTTCACGTGTTTACAACTCTGCGTCATTATCAATTTCACTTTGCATTACATTTTCTTTTTTTAAACAAATTCTCCTACCCCCTCTTATAATCCTCCGACATCTTGGACTCTCGTATTCGTGACTTATAATTCGAAAGCGCAGACCGGAACCGCAGGACAGAGAACTCGGGGGTAAGTTTTCCTACGATAATTATACACTCCCATTCAAGCCGACCTTTTCCACCGTGTCCCTCTTCACCTACCTACCCTTTCAGGACTGTCCTCTTAAATTTCGCCTTATTTATGTCCCGGCTAATGTATTCAACGCCCGTTTTATCCGCACCGTCTTGGTTTAATCTTAAACGGCCCCTTAGATCGCGCACCCCTCCCCCCGACCGACCCCCCTCTCCCACCCACGCATCCTTCCTAGTCCGGATACGAGCCAACCGTGGCGACATCTTCGTTCTCTCTTCGGCCTCTTCTTCCCTGCCTTACCTCCCTTTCTCACTCCCTCTCTAGTACTCACCAAAACATGGAAATAACAGAGTCGCAGGGTTGTTCGCCTACGTGGAATTTACGTATCCTTTTTTTTTTTTGTAAAATCGATGGGCGTATGGACTAGCGGAAGGCACAGGAGAAAAGCACACCTATAGCCAAAGAGAGATTTGCCTGCTACCGCGGGTGCAGCATAAATAAACAAGAGAGAGAGAGAGAGAGAGAAGACGAGACTGAAAGACTACATAGTGAAGGCGGGAGGAGTTCGGCGGGGCGAGGGGGGAGGTCTTGGAGAATAGCCGTGAGGGAGGAAGAGAAACAGACAGGGACGAAACAATGGCTTTGTGCACAAGGAATGAAATGAAATCTACAGTGCGGTAAATTAAAGTGCTCCGTTTTAATGCCGTTATAGGGATTACTGCTCTCGGTCTCCTCTTATACCCCCCTCATCCTCATCCTCCTTAACTTCCTTCTTCGGAGGCTCACCCTTTAGCCAGTGTAAGTAAGAACTCGGAGTCCCGACCTTCTGCACCCCCCCCCCCCCCCCGCCCCCCC